GGTCGCGGCGGCGTCAGCACGGCGCGGGCCTGCCGTAGGACCCAGCCTTCCAAGAGCTCTCGGCCCCGCAGCTCATCGCCGCACGCCTGCCTCGTCCTTCCTATTCCTGATCCCCCCTTCTCGCCTTCCTGCCCTCGCCCACGTCAGCAAGCGTCGCACACGAATCGTACCCCGTAGGGGGCTTCAACTATGTCCTTCATCATCATCATCATCATCATCATCATCATCATCATCATCATCATCATCATCATCATCATCATCATCATCATCATCATCATCATCATCATCATCATCATCCGCATCCTCATCCTCATCCTCATCCTCATCCTCATCATCATCATCATCATCATCATCATCATCATCATCATCATCATCATCTTAATCATCATCATCATCATCGTCATCATCATCAGCATCAGCATCATCATCAGCATCATCATCATCATCAGCATCAGCATCAACATCAGCATCAGCAGCATCATCATCATCACCATCAACATCATCGGCATCATCATTATCATCATCAGCATCATACTCATCATCACCATCATCCTCACCATCATCAACATCATCATCAGCCGTATCATCATAATCATAATCACTTCCCATCATCATCATCATCATCATCAGCATCATCGTCATCATCATCATCATCATCACCATCGCCCTCACCATCAACATCATCACCATCATCATGATCATCATCATCATCATCATCATCATCATCATCATCATCAGCATGAGCCCCCTTACCATCACCATGACCACCATCATCGTGTTGATCGGCCTCGTCATCAACTCCATCACCATCACCGTCGTCGTTAGCATCCCCATCATCGTCATTGTCATCGTGATCGTCACCATCGTCGCCGTCGCCATCGTCCTCACCACCATCATCATCATCATCACCACCAAAACCAGCACCAGCACCACCATCATCATCATCATCATCATCATCATTATCATCATCATCATCAACATCATCATCATCATCATCATCATCAGCAGCAGCATCATCATCAGCATCATCAGCAACATAACAATCATCATCATCATCATCCGCAACATCATCATCAGCAACAACCTCAGCATCAGCATCAGCATCAGCATCAGCATTGACACACTCACCACCATCATTATCCGCATCGTTGTTACCATGATCATCCACATGATTCAGCATCGTCGCCTTACTCCTCATCACCACCATCCTCCTCCTCCTCCTCCTCCGCCTCCTCATCTTATCATAATCATCATCATCAGCAGCATCAGCATCAGCATCAGCATCAGCATCAGCATCAGCATCAGCATCATCATCATCATCATCATCATCATCATCATCATCATCATCATCACAACCACCACCATCATCGCCATCACCATCATCGTCGCCATCATCACCACCGCCGTTGCCACGGCCACCGTCGCCACCGCCAGGATCCCCGAACCCCGAGACGGCGGAGCACGCCTCGGCCGCCCCCCTCCCCCGCTGGACAGGAGCCACCGAGGCCGAGGCCGCTCTCTCGCCTCGATGGCACGCGCGAGCGAGCGACCCTCCTTCTCGGCCTCCTCTTCCTCCGTCGTCGCCGTCCTCCTCCGCCTGCGCCCTCCTCCAAACGCCGTCCTCGTCCTACTCCACCATCGTCCGCCATCCTCCACCTCCCTCCTCCATGTTCTCGGTCTTCCTCCTCCTCCTCCGCCTCCTCCTCCTCCGCCTCCCAGTGCTCTGCCTCCGTCCTCCTCGATTCATGTTATGAACACTACTCTCCTTTCTCCCTTGACTTTGTCCAGAAGATGCCCCCTCTGCGCAGACTTGTTTTTGTTCACAAACGACGTTTCAAAAACAATGTCTTTCTTCTGTGTGTGTGTTCCCATTCGATCGCTTTCGATCCTTCAAAGAATGTTCCCGCTATAGCGCTGGCCTCATTTCCGCGCGTCTGGTCCTTCAAAATCGCAATCCCGCTGCAACGTTCGTCTCATTTCCGCCTGCTCGGTCCTTCCAAGAGGTGTTCCCGCTGCAGCGCTGGTCTCATTTCCGGGTTCTCGGCCCTTCCGAATGGTGCTCACGCTGCAGCGCTGGCCTCATCTCCAAATTGTCGGTCCTCCAGCATGGTTTTCCAGCTGCACCGTTCATGCCGCCATGGTATGTGAGTCGACGATTTTCTTATCGACCGTCATTATGCGACTCCATGCCTTGCTCTGCAATGCTATGATATGCAACGCGGAGCTACACGGTGCCATGCCATGCAATGGCATGCCTTGCGCTGCAATGCTATGATACGCAATGCTTGACTATGCGATGCTATGCTATGCTACGCTATGCTATGTTATGCTATGCTATTCATCGCGTACCCTTTGGGATCGTCGCCTTCTTCCATATCCGACTGTGCGAGTGGAGAGCAGCTCTACGCAGTGGTAAGGGGTAGGAGGGAGGGATAGGACATCAGATATGACGCGAGCGCGACTAGCTGGCCCCCCTCCCCCTGTCCCCTCCCCCCTCCTTCGTCATCCGTCCTCCACCTCCTCCTCCTCCTCCTCCTCCTACTCCTCCCCCTTTGACCCTCACTCCCTCCCTCCCTCCCTCCCTCCTTCCTCCTCCGGTCCTCCTCCTCCTTCCTCGCAGCTTTCTCCGTCCCCGTCACGCTCCGTCCCCAGGCCACCCACTCAAAAACGATTCGCGCCCGAAGCGCCCCGGTCTTTTGGGTACAATTGGGGGCTGCTTCTTCGGGCCCCTGGACCGGCAGAGAACGGCTCGGACACACGACGAAGACGACGACGAGGACGACGAGGACGACGACGACGACGACGACGACGACGACGTCGACGTCACAATCGAGTCGTCGGAGGTCTGGGCCGCATTATCCTCCCTACTCCTGGTCCCTCTTTCGGGGGCTGCCGAAAAGGTGACCCTGGTCCAAGGTGTCCCCCCAGCTCTTCGCACCATGAATGATGGAGCCCCTGGGGCCATCTGGGCCTCGTGGGGGGGTCCTCTGGAGGCCGTGGGGGCCTCCTCGGAAAAATCCTGGAGGCACCTTAACCTCACACGTCGCGTTCTTCTTCGACGCGTGCCCCCCCCGACGTCTCGACCCCTTCCCGGCAAGCGTTTTGCTTGATGGTCGCGGCTCCGGGGAGCGGCCCCAAAACGCCTGGGACGGCGAGACGACTCTTGCCTGTGTGTTCGAGGCGTCGGAGGTCGGGGTCCATCCTGGGCGCCTCTGTTATCTCGGGATAACTCGGGATAACTTGGGCGGCTCAGTTATCTTGGGGGTCCATCTTGGGCGCCGGGATAACTCGGGTCTGGGTTCGGATTCCCGAAAAACGAACCCGAGTTAGCCCTGGTGATTCGGGGCTCTGGACGCCCGACCTATCCGAGGCAACTCGGGCCCGGGGCGATTTGGGCGCGGACTCCCGAAAAACGAGCCCGAGTTAGCCCTGACCCGAGTTAGCCCTGGCGATTCGGGGCTCTGGACGCCCGACTTATCCGAGGAAACTCGGGCCCGGGGCGACTCGGGCCGAAAAACGATCCCGAGTTAGCCCTGACCCGAATTAGCCCTGGTGATTCGGGGCTCTGGCCGTCCGCTTTCCCCCCCCCCCCCCGGAAGAGCGGGTGCGGGCGCGGAGAGGGGGCGGGCTCTGCGCCAGAGCGCGCCTGGTTGCAAAGCTCATCGGAGGTCCGAATGTCACACCCTTGGGCCCACGGGCGGGGCCTGGTCTCGTCGTCGTCCTGGTCGTCGTCCTGATCGTCTTCGTCCTCCTCCTCCTCCTCCTCGATCCTCGAGGTTCGAGATCGAAAATCGAAAAAAATCTGACGCGTTGGTCCTTCTGGGTCTCGGGATGATTCCGGCAGCCTCTGGTTGGGACCCTGTAGCACGCTCGCAGACATGCCCTTGTCTCCCGAGGAGGGAGCCAGCGGCACGATCCTTGGTCTCTTCGACATGCACGCAAGAATTATCGAAGCAACAAGCCCGCTCTCCTTCTCGAAATGGCGCTTGCACTTGCCGATGCCGGCAAACCACGTCTGGACGGCCTCCGTCGAGAGAACCTCCAAAGGCCCGTGCATGCCTGGCACGCTGGGAAGTCACAAGTGGGAAACGGCAAACCAGTGGTTAAGACGAGCACCGAGCGCCCTGATCACAACTCTCATAATCAATCCTCCTCCTCCTCCTCCTCCTCCTCCTCCTCCTCCTCCTCCTCCTCCTCCTTATCATGCCGTGCCCCTCCTCTTCCCCTCCGCCTCCTTCACTATCCATCTCCCTCCCTGCAAACCTCCCCAACCCGAGCGCTACCCACGGAATTGCAATTGCTCATCGGAAAACAAACGAGCAAACCAAGGTTTCATGATTGACCACTGGGACCAGGAGACACCGACTCGCAACGCGGCGTTGTCGAGTCTCAGAGGGGAGCAGGGGAACATTTTGGGGGGGGCAGTCTGGACGGCATCGCGCACAGACGTCGAACTCTCACGCGTGGCTCCACAGCACGGGTGAGCCCGCGCACTTAGTGGGCCCTGGAAACGACAGGGCCGTTTTTCACCGGTTCCGTCTTGCCGTTATTGTTGCCGAATACGACGCCATTTGTTTGCCGGCTCCGTCGCCGTTCTTTTCTAGTTCCAGCTCCGGTTCCAATCCTGGAGCCGTTTTTTGCAACTTCCAGTCGTCGCTGAAGAGACACCTCTTCGGAAACGGTGAAAACACGGCCCGGCCATCTCCTGCGCACACTAATCCCGCGCACGTCTTGAAGATGTAACGCTTATCGTGTGCACCCTACAGTAGACACGCACGATAAGACGTGTTAAGAATAAGGAATGTGAGGGCGCATCCCTCGTCCACTTCGCCATTTGTGTGGCTCCTGAGGGATCCCCAGGCCTACATGGGAGATGAAGCAGGCATTCTTGTGGGGCACCCGCTAGCAAGCAACTTGCCTATCTCGAGCGCCTACGACTGTATACTCACGAACGCTCACCTCGAAGAAGCGCAGAAGCGGCCCCGAACCCCCGTTCCCTCCTACTCCTCGACCGGGCCTCTGTGGCAGTTGTTGAGGTACAGGCCACGCGGCTTCGCCTCGCAGCGGGGAACGAGAGAGCATGCAACGGGGAAGCGTGTCGCATGATTCTTGTGGAAACGCCTCCTCCTCCTCCTCCTCCTCCTCCTCCTCCTCCTCCTCCTCCCCTCCATCTCCTCCTCCTCCTCCGCCTCCCCCCCCTCCTCCTCCTCCTCCTCCTCCTCCTCCTCCTCCTCCTCCTCCTCCTCCTCCTCCTCGGCATGCCAGTGCAGTCATCGTGCTGCCAGAGAGGACGCTGGATAAGAAACGAGGGTGCTCCTCTAGCCACGGGGAGCCTCGGCAACGAGGACGCCCCCGACCCAGCCAGATCCGAGGAACGGCCCGAACACCAGAGCCCCCTCCTGAGCTCAGAGTGGTCCTTCTTTCAGCGTCTTGATCTGGCTGTACCTGGGCAGGGGAGCCACACTGCTGAACCTAGCCGTCGCACAGACAGGGCGCGGGCGGGGAGGTGGGGGGGGGCAACAGGTGAGAAGGCCAGAAGGACGCGGGCGTGACAAGGCTAAGCATGGACGGAATAAGCGACGTTCTCTGATATTCGGCCGTACCTATTACCCTCGCCTCCCGCGGAGCAACCATGCTCACTCCCACAACGCATCAAGCGCCCCAAGTGTCGACAGGTTGCTCCACACTCTGCGGCGTCAAGGTCTGAACATGCACACCGCCCCTGACCTGGCCCATCCTGGGCCCAGAATTGGTCTGGCCAGGAGCGGTGCATACACCTAGGTTCCTTCGCAGAACGTCCAAGGGTTTTTGTGCTCCTGGGCGAAAAGAGATGCCAGCACACACGTTACTGATGTGTGGGGCCGCGGGACCGCCGCGGCGCCCTTGCCGCCTCGACCTTCTCCTTCAGCGGGGGAGAAGATAACAGCAACTCCCTGCTCCGCGATTATTCCAAGCCCGCATCCCCCCCTTCTCTCACGCTCCACCTTAGAACCTCGTCCTCGTCCTCCATCCTGCTCATCCTCCTCATCCTTCTCTGCTCCTCCTCGTGCCACTCCCCTCCATCCGTCCTCTTCTCTCACGCGTGATTGCTTCACCCTGCCCCTGACTCCGCCCTCCTACTGCCCCCACCAGTGCCACCGCTTCCCTGCATCCCTCGATCTCCCTCGGTGCTCCATGCGTGTATGCGGCGCGGGACACACAGCGGAGCAGGGCTCCTTAAGGTCCTGCACATACTTCTCTGCGATGACTCGGAGCCTTCCGGAGCGGCAGAGCGAGAGCTGAGGAGCAGTGAGGAGAACAGACTACACAGCGGAGCTGCGGAGCAGTGGGGAGGAACAGACTGCACACAGCCCCCTCCCCCCCCAACCCGCCCCGCTGCGCAGAGGCGCCCCATGTGAAGAACACGATCCTCTCCTGCCTGACACGTGCAGAGGAGGGGCCCACGCCTCTCCCGCGCAGTGTTTTTGTTGTTTTTTTGTTGATAAAAAACACAGGATGTGATCAGCGGATGCTCCCTATGTGGTGACTGCCGCTCGGAAAGGCTCGAGTTCTTCAGAACACACTTCCGGATCGGTGCGCTCTGCAACCGTTCCGGCTGGCGGTATCGCCCCAGCGCGGGCCACTCCGGGACCCCTCCTCCACAACTTCCTGATCCTCCTGCTGCTGCTGCTGCTGCTGCTGCTGCTGCTGCTGCTGCTGCTGCTGCTGCTGCTCCTCTCTCTCCTCCTCCTTCCCTCCCGCCCTCTCCCCTCCCTCCTCCTCCTCCTCCGCCTCCTCCTCCTCCGCCTCCTCCTCCTCCTCCTCCTCCTCCTCCTCCTCCATCCTCATCCTTCTCTTCTTCCTCCCCCATCCTCATCCTTCTCTTCTTCCTTCACCTCCTCCTCCTCCTGCTCCTCCTCCTCCTCCTCCTCCTCCTCCTGCTCCTCTACATCGTCCTCCTCCTCCTCCTCCTCCTCCTCCTCCTCCTCCTTCTCCTCCTGCTCCTTCTCCTGCTCGTTTCCCTCCTCCTGCTCATCTCCCTCCTCCTCTCCCTCCTCCTCCTCCTCCTCCTCCTCCTCCTCCTCCTCCTCCTCCTCCTCCTCCTCCTCCTCCTCCTAGCCCCTTTCCCTCGAGGGGAGGTTGGCCGCGCTTACTTGAAAGGGGCGCAGCGCGGCCGAGCTGCATGGCATGGCGGGACGGCTCCAGCGCCGCCTCTGCGCCCTGGAGGCGGAGGAGGGTGGCGGAGAGGGCCAACCGACGCTGGCCTGTTGGAGTCGCACGCCTAGTGGAGCAGGCAGTGTCGGGGGCGGTGTCGGCGGCGGTGACGGCTGCGGTGGCCGCGGCCGCCCCCGCCCAGGCGCGGCCTTTGCCAAGGCCGTCAGCGGCTCTGCCTCGGCCCTCCCAGGCGCCTCCGCTGGCCACGTCTGGCACGGCAGACCCGCCGTCGCCACCGCCTGGCTGCTGGGCGCGTCCCCGCTCTCGGAGCCGTTCGGGGGCGCGGGACAGCCAGTTGAAGGACAA